TTAACTCATTGGAGACAAGGGAAAAAATCAGGTCCACAAGGATTCACTGCTTACCCAAGGTTACAGTCAGAGCAGCAAACACAGGAGTCAAATTCAGAGTTCTGACTTGCTTTTCCTTCCATCAAGTAGACTAAATTTTTCCCTGCTTGTTCCAACAACCAGGTAGATTGAAGTTCTGTGCTCTAATCAACAGGAGAAACAGATTCTCTCTTTCCTTGTTTTCTTAAAAATTCTACCACTTATGATCATGCTGAACTTCACTGGCCAAGTCAGCCTCCACATTCCATCAGTTTGTAGGAGTTCTTAAGAAGAGTTGTGTGAACACACATACAAAAGTGACAATGGTCACCAACAAGTGCACAGACAGAGATATATTGCATGAAAGCATCAGAAACACTAACTGTAGAAGAGTGTTGAGAGTTAATTGCCTCCAGGAAAGACAAAACAGGACCTTATCTAGTGAGATGACTAAAATAAACTTTGTAGACCTCTCTCCTCTTTGCTGAAAATGCTCAGAAAACTACCTAAATTTGCCTTCTGCTTATTCTGTGTCATAGATGAGGTCATTGCTGTTAAATTTTTTCAAGGCATCAGCTGAAAACAAGTAGGCCAGCAAATGGCTCATGTACCCTGAGGGACAGCATTGTCTTGGGTGGTATACACATATTTGGAAGAGCTTCCAACAGTGAGGACCAGAGGTATGCACTAAAAAGAAGGTACACCTTTGCCTTTGGTTTGTGCAGCAGGCTCACTTCACTTTTTTATACCCTTTTTATAGGGTGTAAAAAGACCATCTGATTCTTTTGGCATTAACTGAGTCCTCCTGGCTTAATAGTTGAGAACAATTCTTGTGCTCAGTGACCAAGTGCTACAGTGGAGTCGTGAGATCCTTCCTCCCCTTCTCCCTCCTCTTTTCATTGTTAGAGCAAGAAGAGATCTCACTTTTAACCATCGAATATCTGAGGATTCCTGTTCCTTTCCTCCCATTCGGATAGAAATACATTCAATACAGTCAATGCATCTTTGTGCCAGTAAAGGTTTAATTCCTGCTAAATTTCTCTTAGGCTTCTTTAACATCCTAAGACACTAACTCATAAAGAGGTAAGTCAAGGCAGAATGCTAATTTCTAGGTTCCTAGCCTCAAGCTCTAATCATGAAAGGCTGCTCTTTCTTTCAGTCAGATCTCCAACAAGGGCTAAGCCTGGCAGTATGCCATGAGATGCAGTGCCTGCACTGCCTGGAAGTGTAGGCTCAGTTTTGGTCTCCCAAGTCCTTGAGTTCTGCTGAAATCACAATTAGCATCTCAAGAAGTAACACACCTGGGTCTGCAGGGCTCCCCATTATACTGGCAGGAGTAGACCATATCTTCTATTTGCTCCGTATGGTCAGAAATGTTGATTATAACTGGTAGCTGGGACATGATATTCATGTAGTGAAACCTATACCATTCAAGAATTGCATCCATCCCAGATGAATAGGTCTTGTAGAAGCAACTCCCACCTGTGGCATTGCACTGGAAAAAAAGAAGAGGGCGAGCCATTCAGCACAGCCAGGACATGACAGCCTACGGGCAACAGAGATCGGGGGTAAAGGCAGTACTGGATACAAGGACAAAGGGAACCTTTATTTTTTCAAGAAAGTGAAGTCTCTGATCATTTTAGTTATCACAGAAACACAGAATGGCTGAGGTTGGAAGGGAGGGACCCCCAGAGGAGGGCCACGAAGATGATAAGAGGGCTGGAGCACCTTTCCTATGAGGACAGGCTGAAAGAGTTGGGGCTGTTCAGCCTGGAGAAGAGGAGGCTCCGGGGTGACCTTATAGCGGTCTTCCAGTACCTCAAGGGGGCCTACAGGAAAGGGACCCCTGGACATCATCTTTTTATGTGCTAAGCACCTTCTCTCCTTGAAGCTGAATTAGATGTGCTGCTTCATCTCAGGGGAATGAGTGCCAGGGAAAAGAGACAGAAGAAGAGAGCAGACAAGCAAACTCAGGTACCTTGGGAGAAGGAAGGACAGGGCTGGTGGGAATACTCTACAACCCATGAATCATTAACCAAGTGCTGAGATGCTTGCTTTGTTCTTACTCAGACCTTAGGAAAGTGAACATCCACAGATTCTGCTGAAAGTGTGCCTGGTGAAGGACTTCAGGATAGGACAGGACAATGATAATCAGGCAAAAATTGTTGGCCTTTCAAGCCACATCAACCTCTCGTAGCTTCTGCTCTTAAATCTGTGCTAACCCTGTTTTTCATATGAAGAATCTGAAGCATTTGCATTCTTCTCCACAGCCACAGCCACACATTTATTGTATTGATCCTCTTGATTTGTTATTGTCACCTTTCATTTTATCTGCAACATTTCTAGTGCCCCCAGTACTGCAGCATTTAGACACTGCGAGACTCCTCGCGTGTTGTTTCTCTGTTATTTCTAGGCTCACCTGCTAAGTCTAGAGGGTTTGTATACTTTCAGAGAGGGGTGCAATGATTCCCACAGCCTGCTGCTACCGTTGTCTACTGAATTTGTCACTATCAGAAGGACTTCACAGGTGGATGGGCTGTGTAAGACCATTGATGTTGCTGTTGTTTCACTTCACAAGAATCCTGGCAATCAGCATAAACCGTTAGAGGCAGGGATGGACTCTCCTGAACCATCCTCCGAGCTGTCACTACACAGCACTGGAACGATCTATTTTTCACTCTTTTTTTTTTTGAATGTACCTGTGAGACCTTTGTCAGGGCCCTGAGCCCAATGATAGACCTTAACAGCCCTGAGCAGCCTCACCTGGAGCCTCCACCCACACCCTCTCCCCATGGGCCCACGAGCTCATTTAAGCTCAGCTGGGGGTCTTCAGCTTTTCCTTGGTCTGTGCTGTAGGGCTGCTGCTGTGCTTCTGCCTCACTGCAGACCCTCTCCACCCAGTGGGCTGACTGCATGGCCTGATCTTGAACCTGCCTCGTTGCCTGGAGCTTGCCTGATGAGCTGGATGGACTCTTGGTTGGACCTGGCCACCATCTGCGAGCTTTCCCTGCCTGCTTGCTCAGGTATTGTGGGGTGGGTCCCTGTCCTCCCCTGTCCCATCGGGAGCAGCCAGCCCCAGCTCCTGGTACTTGTAGCCAGCGTAAAATTTCAAAGAGGACACGCACTTACCAGCCTGAAGCCCACGCTGGAATGCTTATTCCTGGACCTATTATTGTGATCAGGCATTCTCAAGAGTGAGAAGTTTTGGCTCAGCTTGAAGCTTGATCTGCTGAGATTGCCTAAGTCTTTTACGTGGATGTTTTTCTCATTCATGTGGAATAAGCTGGCTGATGTGTTGATGCCATACAAAAAAGCAATAGATTCCTCTGCCATACGATCCAACTGAATCAAATGTTCACTAACCAGTTCAAATCTGCAAGGAACAGAAATATTAGCTACTTGTGTATGTCTACATTTTATGTGCCCTCACAGTACCTATGGAAAGGCTACTCTCCTGGTCTCTGCAGACCTTGATATCTGTGTAAGAAAAGCCAGCAGTCATGGTGCCTAAGCTTAGCATACCTAACTTCAATAAATTAATTTATTAGGAGCTCCAGTAGCTGAATTTCCAGTTGCTGGATTCTCTGCTGAAAACCTCAGAACCTGTGGCTGTGCAGCATCAGCTGCACCAACTGGCCCTCCTGTCAGCCAATTAGATAATTATTCTGAGGAAATTACATAATTCCTTTACTATGTAATTTGAAACATCTCGATAACTTGCCACTCTTGTGTGAGCCTTGTTTGACAAGCAGGGCCACACAGACTTCCACAGAAGCTATATTGTCTCCTTAAATCCATTCAGTGGTACAAAAAAATGAGCAGTTATCAGCTCTAGCATGCATCATTCCACGCATTGGTAGCGTAGTTACGAATGAATACACATAGTAGCCATTCTTTTTAGGGAAAGACCTTTTTTATCAGAGCACAAAATCAGTTAGCAGCTTGAACCAAGTCACAAGGTAGAGTTCCCTCTATCCTGACTCAGTGCATGAAATAAACTGCTACATGCTGTTGCACAATTCCCAACAAGATCTTATCTTAAAACCAGTTTGGAAATAACAACAGTCCCTTTCTACCTCTGTAAGGCAGAGAGACCTCCCTCTGCCTTCAGCCTTCTCCAGGCTGCAGTCATCAGGTTGCTGACCCTTCCTGCACCTTTGTGACTGCAAAAACACGACTACAGCCAAGGGGAAAGCACAGGTTACCTGTATGGGTCCAGATTGCAGATGGTAATTGCTGGAAACATTTTGGGCCCTGAATGCATTGACATGGTCAGGACGACAGGGTAGGCCCAGTACTGGCTGAACATAAGTGCAAATTGCCAGTATAACATGCCAAAGCTGGCAAGTAAAAGCAGCGTCCAAAAAGCTGTTTTCATCCTATTGCTGTCTGAGCATACAAGGCGGATGGTGCCGTGGATTGTTGTGTTCTTGCAGAAGAACTCAAACATATCCTTGAAGGAATCATAAAACTCAATCAAGCCTTCTTTCTTCTCTTCTTCTTCTCTCGCTGCTTCCGGCTCCATCCTCTAAGCCTATTTGTTTTCAATAAAAAAGGGAAAAAAAAAAATCTCATTAGTTTGTTAGAAAGACCATGGCCAATGTATGGGCTCTTTCAAACAGGGTGCCAGTGAGTTTGTTATTAGCAAAAGCTGAAAATAACTGTGAGCTGAGACTCATCTGTCTTTCCAGAGTTTGGACATGAGGAAGTAGCAAAGAGGTCAAACGTTCTGCATACTGCTGCCAAAGTCACTTGAGGGATTCTACCACGCTTACACTGACTTCTCTGTCAGCAGGCATATGCAAAGCTAAAGTGACTAATGCACATCTGCTGAGAAGTTTGCAGCCAAACGGGTGTGTAGTTTCCTTCTTTCTAAGAACATTAAGGACCAATATTTAATTCAGAAACATGGTGTCACTGTACAGTAATATAGATCTGTAACTAATTCATTATTACAAGTACATTGCTAGTGAAACATGCTGGCCTTAGGGCTGAACCAAGACTGTCTCAGAACTAGCAATATGGATTCATCCTCATACCAAAGAATCAGGATAAAGTCAACTTTCAAGTGGATGAAAACTGCAAATTAGGATCTGGGTTTAATTTTTCTGTATTATCTCTCATTCTGCAGAATGGAGGTAAATAGGACTAATTTCTGCCATGTCTGAAATAGAGCCACTTCCAAGAGGAAATATAGTAGGTAGTTCATAGTTCAGACAAGCAGAATCAGGCATTTAGGAAAGGAAGCAAAGAAAAACATCCCCTTGATTGAAACTGGAGGGGATTAAGCAAATTAGGATGTGGGTAAAGCATTGCAGATACTACTTCAAATAAAATGTTCTTGGGTTGTTTCTGAAGGCCACAGAAATATTAATTATTGCTATTAATGGAAATTTTGCCACCTATCTCTTAGATAAATAGTTTATTCCAAGAATCGAAAAATCTTCCCCTTCTCTGTATTTTACAGAAGGTAAAAGGAAGCACAGAAACTGAAAATCACCTGAGAAGAGTGGCATAACTGGAAATCAAAATCCATGTCTCCTTTGTCACTGTAAGTAAAACATCTACTGTGCTGCTCTAGATAACTTCAGACTTCACTGCTGATGAAAGTGTGAACATTATTTATGCTCATATGTTTTAGCACAGACCAGGGACACCCTCCTAGGCTTTTGTATCAATCTGGGAGATTGGACTAATGTTGACATACTTCCACTTACTGAACATGACATCAAGTCCCGTAACACATGAGTTTCCAACATTACAGCACTCTCTGAATCACCGTACCTATTATGCTATTAAGAGGAGTTTACTGAGTACAACACTTCTGTCTAATCTTAACTCCAAATAAAGATCTTACGCAGCAGTAGGGTTTGAAGACAAGATGAGGAGCACACAAATAATTAAAGAATTGTTGCAAGTGGCCTATGTGATAATGAAATGCAAGCTCAGGGCTTTGACTGTTACGTGCCTTGAAGTGTTTGGTAGTGGCTCAGTCTGAGGTGCCACCGAGGTTCTGACAGCTCAGCTTCTAGACACTAGTGCCCTGATCTGCAATGCCTTCATCCTCAACTAGACCCTTGCATTTTAAAACATGGCTTCATTTCAGAAGTCTTTGGAATAGAACTCTTTGAACAAAATGATATCTTAAAGTTACAAGCTACTAAAACAGTCTCTTCAGTGTATGTGTTCCTGGCAGAAAGATGAGGAATAATCCTTAAACAGTGAAGAGCACTCCAAAAGCTGTATACCAGACTAGCTTTAACATAGCCCACAAAAGTGTATTATCTGACCAGAAAACCCAGTTTATCAAAAGTTATTTTCCTCTAAGACCACAACACATACCATGTTTATATTTTCTAAGATATTGTTTAACAGTAATACAAGATTAACTCAAGGGAATATGTATCTCCTTTACACTTTTACAATTAAACATGACAAATGATCTTTAAATTGCTTAGATACACTTGCCATTGAACAAGTACAGGAAGCCCAAGCAATGTGAAATGTTAAAAAAGGGTATGAACAATTAAAAGAAAGCTTGTGTGATAAAGAAAAGAAGTAGGAAATGAGAAATTCTACTTTTGGTATAAGCAAACACTGTTTTTTCTGCAGTGCATATATAGTTAAACCATGACTCCCACACAGACTACCACACAAAGCTATAGTACACTGAACCACTGGTTACAAATTTTATCAGCAACCTTACAACTGAAAGCTTACATCTGAGTGCTTCTTCAGTCAAAAAGGACTATCTGGGCAATCTCCAGAAACGAATCCATGGTAGTCTTGCTATCCCCTATAGTAAATGAAAATAAGCCTGCAGTGTATGTTAAGAAATACATTGAAAGAGTCCTTAAATATTTCTGGTATTTTAAGATAGAAATGAAATTTGTGTGAGACTAAACCAGGAAAATTTAATTTGTTACTGTTGTATTAATCTCAGTAGTCAGCATTGCTCTAATGAGAAAGAGCAGAATAAAGGTAATAGTTACCAAAATTGAATGCTAAATCAAATCTATCAAACACATTTTTTCTGGGTATAATTTTGAACCTAAAAAACCACCTGAAAACATTCAAACAATGGCTTTTGGAGACAATACATAGTTTTCAGACATTCTGACTTGGCTTTTAAGGCTATGGCTAGTTAGCTCGTGCCATTTGAATCTGCATTCCTAAAATAACTAGAACGAAAAAGCAAACGATAACGCAAAAAAACTGAGGGATCTTTCCAGGCACACGTGTACAGGCAACAGAACATCCTCTCTCCACTGGTTTCCTAGATCAGCCTACCACTAATTTATTTAACACAGCAATTGCAGTCAGGCACTTAACAAAACATGTAACAGCAACAGTGACCAGTTGCCTGTCTTGTCTGTGGTAAGTGCCTGGAGAGAGGCTGCAGGTTATAAGAAAGTCAGTGGAAGCTATACAGCGGTGGCAAACAAGTATATGCTCACGTATTATCACAGCAACTCAATGCTCAACACATACTAAACACATGTGAACATCATTTAGACAAATATTTAAACACATGCATAGGTCTCTATAGCTACATATCATCATACGTATATACAGAAACACACAGAAAACAACTAAGACCAAATTGCAAAACACCCCACTGTACCTTGGCAGAAACTCTATCTTTGAGTGTTTAGAGTAGCCACTAAACTCAGCCTTCGGCTTTATCCTGAACAGAAGACAAGTCTTGGTCCAAAGCTTTCAGATTTCCTTTTCTAACTGCAGATACATTGGGAGCTGTCCAGCCTATATGGATCAAATCGATGACATCAAAAGGGGCAGGACTTAAGAAACAGATCACTGAAATTATTCAAAGCATGATCCAGGGAATAGTAGGAAGTGAATGAACTGGACAAACAAGTTAACATTAAGGTAATGCTTGAGTTAAAGTTGGTTTGAGTGGTGGGGGTGTGTTTATATCTTTTTTTTTCCAATAGCTAGAACAGCTTTTTAGCCATAATTTCTACAAATACCTAGGGAAGTAACCATAGATCCTGTAAGGTTCTTTCCACTCTGAACATTCCCATCAAGGAACTAGCTTTCTGTTGTTTTTTCATGGTTTCCGGAGGCTTGCATGATCACCAGTAATTGAAGCCATTAAGGTTTCCACAGGTGTGCTTGAGGAATTACATACCTCAGTGTAATCTGAAATGATCAGCTACACGGTCTAAGACACACATGGCAGTGGATTTCTTCCTGCTTCTCCAAGACTATTGCTCATCTGCAGTGGGCTTTCCCATACCTATTAACTCTTCAGATGTTGAGACTTGAATAGACTAAATCAACCCTGACACTCAATCTAAATCAGAACACCCTGGTTTTGCAACACTGCTTAGTTAATACTTGCAAAAGTCTGCATAAGTAATGCAGAAGTAGATTCAGAATTCTGGGAATGCTAAAACACAAGCACTTCAGATTGCCTGCATGATTAGTACCAACATATGCCCAGTTGGAAAACAGCTCTGCAATGGCTTTGCAAGAAGCTTGTTATAGGAATATATTAATATTCTGGATATGGATAATGTTTAGAGCTTCAAATCAGACCAGCAGAGTTCCTGCTTGCCTTTTAAAATGGGTTAGAACCTGATTTTCTGTTATGTTGGAGGTTGTGAAATACTGTCGGTTGCAAAGACAATTGAAATTTTCTTGTGAAATTGAATGCAAAAAAGAAGGGAGAAAGGACAGACATCAGGAAAAACATACTTTTCTGATTTAGACTGATTTCAATCTGTTTATATTTTTAATAATTGCTTTGTGCTGGATTTTGTTTTAGAAAACCAAAACACGTAGAATGTTCATCTCAAATTTTAAAACAATTATTCTAGAAGATGAGAATCCTACTAAACAGCTGCTATTAACATATTTTAACCCTCTTCGGTTTTGGTATTAAAAGGAAATGACACAAAAAATATTTGGAAAATGTTTTAAATTTTAAGAAGTCAGTATTTTGAGGTGTAAAAATTAAACTTTTGATTAAAAGTATTCTAATTGGGTCTTGAATGAACAGCTACAACAGAGCCACTTGCCACTGACTGATGAAGAGGTAAGTAGTTAAATTCTCATTAAAAAACCCAGAACACTAAAAACCTAATCCTGTCACATCCATTTATTTTTCCCCACCCTTCTTACTCTCTTCATTTTATATTGTGCAATAGCGAATGGCAACAATAAATCCTTGACAATGAAATTATTGCACAATGGACATACACAAGACACATTCTCTTGCTTCATTATGGCTGCAGGCCTCAGTGTAGAGATTCTCTGGCAACACCTCAGAACAATACCTTCTGAGCCTGCCATGAATTTTTCCTGCAGGAAATGGAGAAGAACTGGATATGCAGACAACACTGTCCCTCAAGCGAGATACCATTTCTGTTTGCACTTGCTTATTTGTCATCCTGTATCCTGAACTGGGAGGAGAGGGGAAGAGAACTCTTTCGCTGGTTAGAAGGTAAGCTGGTGGTTTTTTCAAAATACAGAAACAGATTATGGAGATAACATTCAGGA